ACCAGCTCAACCTGTTTCTGCATGGCCATCATCCCGTACAAGGTCTGTAGAGATATACATGATAACTGATTAAATCGAGCAGATGGTAAGAAATCAAATGTAAAGACTATGTAAAGATTCATTGATTGAGGGACAGAAGTTACCTTCATGGCAGATAAGGGGAACCAGCTGAACACTTCCTTCTGAGACAGACCCTTGGCTACCTCAATATCCTTAGGAGTCCACATGCTCCTATAGTATGCCATAGCGGTCTGACCGTCCTTGAACATGGTCTCATCCGGCTTTGTAGACGATTCGTCTGTTCGAATGAAGTAAGGGTTCCATGGTGCCGTTCCAGAGGCAGAGGCATGCCCAGAGGGGGTAGGAGGCCTAGTTAGAGGGCGCACGGACACACTCGGCCCAGAAGGCCTAACTCTCAGTGACAGAGGAACGTCATCAAGGCTGAGAGCACTATCAGGCTGATGCCTTTTTCCTCTCGTCTTTTCCCGTACGGTAGCAGTGGCAGAGTTGGGAAGGTTGCTGACAGAGGGGGTCACGTTCGGATTAACAGTCGTAGTGTTGGAGATCGGGTCGGTGGCCGTCACGTTCGGATCGGTGGAATGAGTGGTATCAAAAATAGTGGCAGAGGAAGATACTGAAATTGTTGAAGAAGTTACTGCAGGGGCAACAACGGTCCTGGGGGCAGCTTTCCTCCTACCGAAGGAAGGGATCTGGAGCTGACTCATTGTCTTGCCAAAGGCTGAGAGAGCAAGAAGGTTGTCTGAGGTAAGGAGATCCGAGCATGAGGGAATGTTGGTCAGAACGTACTGCTTCAAATAGTTATCCCTATCCTTGCAAACACCGTAGCTCAAATCATCACAAGGAATGCCTAAGGAACGGCATAAGAAAGTACAAAAGCGAGGAATACAAATCTCGTAAGGACAGTCACTCTTATAGGTTTTGTATTTTTTATATGAAGAGACAGAGCACTCTCTAAAAGCGCTCGGGATAGGGAAATCCTCTGCGGCTGGAGAAAACCAGGCTCCCCTAATCCCAATTATATTTTTCCTCCAACCCTTCTCAGATTTGATTTTATCTTTGCAGATGGACCTCTTCTCAATTGGGTAGAAGTGGTAAAACGGTTCATCAGTTCTGATTTTGCTAACCTTGTAACAGAGGAGAAGATCTACGAGGTCCAGATCTAGACCTCTGTCACAGTTCAAAAGCAACATAATAGATAAAACCCTAAGGAAATTTGGATTTACTTGCAAAGGAGAAAGTTTCAGTTTATTAAAAATAGTTAAAGAAGGGATACAGAGGGAACCTAAGGAGGTTAAGATAAAGGTGGGAAAATAGAACCTCGTCAGGAAGAAGGCCAACACCAGTTCTAATATTCACTTCTTTAGGGCAATTTCTAATTTGTGTATCGTCAGGAAGATGAAGTCTCATGCGAAGAACATCTAGATCTATAGTCATAGTGAGAATGAATGAGGATTTTAAGGGAGAAAAAGAGGTTTTTCGAAAGAAAAAGACAAACAAAACTAACATTAGAGAGTGAAAACGTTAAAGAGTACTGCAAGGTCGCTGGAAAAATGAGCTTTTGCAAGAAATCGCCGGAGAAGATTTGAACAACAGTAAAGTAAGATGGAGACGGTAAAGAGAATCGATGGAACATCTATGAGGCTTATAAAGACAAGGTGGGCCCGAAGGCCGAGGAGTCAGGAAAGCGAGGAGTTTTTTGAATCTCAAAGCACCGACCCCCAAATCTAACCGTCCATTCTTCCATGCGATCTTCTCGAGCCGTCAAGTCATGATTAGCAGCCTCTAATAATTACCCCCTAATTATTATGGAGTAATTATGGGGGCAGTTGAGGATACAATAAGTGATATGGGCCGGTTATAGCCCGCGGACGTGGCATCGGGGCAAACAATTGAAATACAGCCCATACAAGAGCATCACAGAATGGGCCGAGCTCGGAGGATTCACCAAAGAAGACCAAGCCCATTGGAAAGAAGGCCCAAAACTGATAGTCCAGCAACACTTGTAATTAATTGCCTATAAAAGGGCAGTGAAGAAAGTAAAATAGGGGGGGATTTATTTTTAATTGAAAATGTAATGAGATTCTGTCCAAATAGTGAGAGAAAATTCTTTGTATCTTCAGATTTGGACTTTAATTGCTGGACTATTAAAATATATCTGTCAATTACATGGATATTGTGCTGGATTTTAATTGATGAACCATTAAATACTAGCGTTATCAATTATATGGATATTAGGGATGTATTTGATGTCCAATTAAGTGTGCATCATTTATAGATCATTTGCATTGTAGCACCGGTATGGGACGGTGGCATATTGGGAATGAATTAGATCAAAACGCTAATTCCTACCTATTCATACATACGGAATGGATTAACTAGAACAGTTAAATCCTACATGGATGCATGTCCTGTCAACTAAAACAGTTGAACGACATAACGGATGTTTGCTTTATTTTTCTGTATTACGAAAGATTTATATATATCATTATGGTACCGTGATATGAGCTTGAGTCTCCTGATCACAGTTAGAGTGCGTATATTGCCTTGGATGGATAGTTGGACCTAATGACGTTCCCTGGTAGGGCTAGGTGTGCATGACTACGCTACGTGCGTTTTGCGTGTTACTTTCTATTCAAATATGATGACTATAGGTTAGTGAGTGTCTTATAGTGTGTATCTATATCTATATGGACTATTTTAGATATTGCCGAGTTATCTAAGATGTATCTGTGTATCGGGTTTATGTATGGATTGTAATAGAATGGAACTTGCATATGGGCCTGACCCACTCTTATTTTTTAGGTGTTCATCATTACCAGGCTTAGAGCTTGATCGTGATGAAGCAGATATAGTCACTCACTCTTCCAACTAAGTAGGACTTCCTTCTATATTATGGTTTGGATGTTGGTTTTGTAATTTATTATTTTTGGAATTATTTAGGGGTCCACTGGATGGATTCCCGAGTTGTACGGATGGGAAAGATTAAATTATTTTAATCTTTTAGTCTTAAGGATTTTCATATTAGAATTCTTTTCAGCTTTAAATTTATTCATTTTCTTTTGTATTCCTGCTTGTTTACATATTAATTGTTTGGTATCCCTCGGATCTGTGTTCGGACTTGATCACCCGTGGACCTAGAATCGAGGGGTATCACACTCGATGTCGCATATAGGGTAAAGTTTGGTCTTGACAAGTCCCTCGAAAAATTATTTTGTTTATTTGGCAAAGTCTGCATGATCGTTTGCCAATGAACTTGCTCTTGTTCATTTGTAGGGTCACTGAGGTGTCTTCCTGCCCATTTTGTGAGTCCTTTGTGGAATCCGTTGACCATCTCCTTTGTTCATGTTCCTTTGCCAGTATGGTGTGGATTCATAGTCCTTTACGGGTGGATTTTCACGGTGCAGTTTTTTCTTTTTGGCCCAAAAGGTGGTTTGAAATGTCTGAATTATGGTCTAAGTCCGAGTTTCCGAAGGACTATCTTAATCTTGTTGCGTGTACTTGTTGGGCTATTTGGAAGAGCCGCAATAGTATTGTGTTTAATCATAAAAAATGGACTCCTTTGGAGGTTGCCACTAAAGCTTTACAGGATTTTTATGAGTTTCAGGAGGCCTCGCTGTAATCTCGGTTACTTTCTTTTCCTGGTCCTCCTATTTCTTCTCCCCCTCCTCGATGGTGTGCTCCAGCGGAGGGATCATTCAAACTGAACTTCGACGCCGCTTTTGATTCTTCCAGAAAATTATGTGGTGGGGGGATGATTTTGCGTAACCATTTTGGGCAGCCTATTAAAGTGTCCTCACTCTTCTTCTCCAATGTTGGGAGTCCATTTCTAGCGGAAGGCTTAATTTTTCGGGAATGTTTATCTCTTCTCCGACTTTAGGGGTATCATAAAGTCATTATGGAAGGGGACTGTCAGCCTGTTATGCACCTCCAAGCAAATGATGAGGCCTTATGTGTTCTTTTTCACGCTGTTCATTCTCTCCTTTGTTTATGGATTGGTTCCTCCTTAGCTTGGGTGCCTCGCTAAGGTAATGTTGTAGGTCACTTGTTGAGCAAAAAAGGCTCTTGCAGCCGCATGTTCTGATCTCGAGTGGAGCGTCTAACCCAACTGATTGTTAGATGCTCTTAGCCCTGACTGTATCTTTCCTCCTTTTGAATGATATGGTGTTTCATTTGGCGTTAAAAAAAAAAAATTACTGATTTGTTAAGAATATTTTAATAAAAATCATTATCTATCTTGTTTTATTATATTTTAATTACTCATTTTATTAGTGTATTTTATTATACATTATTACCTATATTATGAGTGTATTAGTTCTAAAATCATGTGGCCATTTGCCATTACAATTATAGTATTATCTATACCCATGGTGAGTATGAGAAAGAGTTAAACGCGTCTGCGGAGGCTTAGAGTGATTACTATTGCGAACACCCATATGTGAGGAGGAAGTATTGATTTTAGGGTAGTGCATAACATGCCTTTCAACCTCAAAAGCTAATTTTCTTATAATTATAATATATTATTTATCATGTTCAAGTACTATTTACTTGTGTTGATCAAATATTATTTAGTGTCATTCTTTCATTCATTATTGAAAAATGTTGTTCTTTTAACTTGTTAATAAGTTAAATCTGCATATCACTTGGCTATGTCATTGCATAGTTCTAGTTCAGTGGGTGCAGGACAAATTTGGCGAGAACTTTGGCACTGTAAAACTCTTCCTAAAATCAATCATTTCTTATGGCGCTGTTGTCGTGACATTCTTCCATTGGGTTCCACACGTCTTTATAAACATTTCACTGATGATGTAATGTGCCCTCCTTGTGGTATGGAGGAGGAGACTATTCTCCACTTCTTTTTTAAATGTCCTCATTCCTTGCAGACTTGGAAGCTAACTCCACTTCACTTGGATTTTTCTAATTTGGTTGTGAATTCTTTCTCATAGTGGTGGTTGAGCCTTCCCTCTCTTGCTTCTGGGCGTATGGAGCGTTCTTCTTTGATGAGCTTGGTTTCCTTTTGCTGTTGGTTTTTATGGAAAGCTCGAAATAGGTTGGTTTTTGAAAGTGCTCTCTGGCATCCTTCATTTGTGGCCTCCAAGGCGGTTCAAAGTTTCTGGGAGTTTTTTAACATACAGAAGTGTTGTTTGAATGTGCATTTGACTCCTAAACCTTCGGTTTCCCCTCTTTCTTGGTCTCCTCCCCCTTTCGGCAAAATCAAGTGCAATGTTGATGCATCTTTTTTCCATTCAACTGGCTTTGGGGGAGGGGGAGCTACTTTCCAAAATTCAGATGGCTTGGTTCTTAAAGCAGTTGTTTTTAAACAGTTTTTGGTTTCATCTCCATTGGTGGCTGAAGCTTTGGCTTTTAGACTTGCTGTCATGTGGGCTCGGGCTTTTGATTTTCAGCACGTTTGGTTTGAAAGTGATGCTCAAACTCTTGTGGAAGCTTTGCCTGTCGGTTCTTGGTGACCTTCAAGCATTGTCTCATGTATTTATGATATTCGCACTGATCTGGACCTCTTCTCTTGGGTTAAAGTGTTTCATGTGCGGCAAGGTAATCGAGCAGCCCATGCTCTTGTATCACTCTCTTCTTCGTGCTTGTATGCTGATTCTGTTATCTCCCATCTTCCTGCGGAGGTGCTTCAGTTGGTGGAGTTGGACTACCGTCCTAATTTCTGTTAGTTTTCTTCTATTTGCCAGGAAAAAAAAAAAAATGATTGTAATTTTATAATGATATTTTTTGAGTTCATGTAATAAGACTTGTATCTTTGAACAAGCTTATTTATTATAGAACTCTTATATTTATATTATTGTGTATGAATGAATTTTTGTAAAATACCCAACAATTATCTCCTCTTTCAAGTGAAGGACTCTAATATCTGTACACTTGATAGATAAGAATTGCGCTTGTTCAGTTAAAAGAGACCGGCTCCAAAAAAAAACTATTTAAGTGACATTTTAAAACTAACTATTATATTTTTTTCAAACTTACAACACTTTTTTAACAAATATGTTTTTATATTTTTGCTTCTAAAAATCTTACAACAACTGAATGTTACCAAACATACTTTCGATTACTATTACACCAAAACACTTGTTTTGTTTCGGGTTAAAATAAAATGCCAAAAACAAAGTGCGTATCAAATAGGCCCTTATTAATTATGTTACTTCAAAATTTGTAGTATTTGATGAAATTGCTCTACTTAAAAGTACTCATAATGTACAATTTTTATCATGACCTACCAAAATGTTATACATGTTATCAAAGATTTTACACATTTTATTAGGGTTAGTTTGTTCTTAATTTTAGGGACTAATTTTATGTTCAGTCCTATTAGTTAAATGTTAAATCCTCTACCTCCTGCTATTATAAAATTTTAAAATTATAATATTACCATTTATAAATAACAATACTATGAGTACTGATAGATATAATGTTAAAAACAATTTTAATCTCTCTTCCCTTCTATCATAACTAACATAATAAGTCGTCAACTTCTTCTCTTCCATACAACAAAACAAAAAGATAGAAGTACACAATCTATTTTCTAGACATGTATCATCCATCTCATAGTTAGTAAAATATGGTACGGAAAAAATACGGGTACCGAAACGTACGAGTATAATTCGATATTTTTTAAAAAATACGTTTAAAAAATTCGGCAAAAAAATACCGCAACGTAAAAATATGAATACGGATACGTACGTGTATAATACGTTATATACACTAAAAATTCAGGATCAAAAATTCGGCTATCTACATATCTTATTATTTTCTTATATATATGATATATTTGTAAGGACAATAAAGAATATGTAACAAATAATAAAATAAATATATTACAATTGACACTATCACAATAATCATAAAAAAAAAAAAAAAATCATAAGTATATAATGTGATACTTTACTAAAACATTTGGAAAGTGTGGTGATCTACAAATTTCTAAAATAATAATAATAAAGTTATCAACAAAATTTAGAAGATCTCACAATAAAACAAAAAATCTATAAATATCTACAAACATCAATAAAAACTTATGATTCTTCAAGATTATAGTGTTCCATAATTATAGTGTTCCACAAATATATATATATATATATATATATATATATATATATATATATATATATATATATATATATCTCTTTCATTACTTTGATTAAAGATCATAATTGGAGTGACAACAATAAGAGATTGCATAACAAATAACATTATTTTAATGGCTTAAAAGATAATGGTTATACCAAGCAAAAGAAGGTACAAAATACAATAGTTTGTGTTTCAGAAAAATAGGCTATTAGAAACGTGAATTTCGTGAACGAAAAAAATAATAATAATAATAATAATTAGGTTACGAATTAAATGGAGCAACAAAACGAATAAACGAATAAACGCGTTAGATACGGAGTGATGGAAAAAAATACGTATTTTACTGTATCTTTCAACTCTGATCGACAAACAAAAATATTTTTTTAAAATTCGTACGTATACGTTTAATTCGCGCATCATATGCGAATTAACTAACTAGGAATAACTACAAAATATGCACTTACCTAGTTTGGGATCACATTAAGTGGGAAGAGATTAGGCAGGCCCCTAGGAGAGCCAACCTGATACCTAACGCATCATAGGTTTGGGATTGACTCAAATGGTAAAACTATTAAAATTGACCAGATTGTTTGTTTGGCATGTTAGGTTTTGTTTTTCCAGACCTTACCCAAAATAAAGTTATTGTCTTCCAGATAGATCTTGATTTATATAAGCAATGCCAGATCTAATATGAAAGCATATATGCAGATATACACAAAAACAAACGGAGTATTGATCTTTTTACCCAAAACTAGTAAAGTCATCAACATGTAACCAAATTTCAAAGTTCAATCCTGATTTATCCATAATTCTGTATCAATTAACCAAGAAAGCCTCTATTTGCCTACCTTTCAGTCCTTTAAAAATCTCACTTAACAATCTTGCTTGTGGTAATAGTGGTTAACCAACCTTGCAAGTAAATTAATTAATTATATTAGCCATAGAACCTAAATCTGTTTAATACTAATTAGTCTCATCTCACTGCATGTCTCACTATTTCAATACTAAAAAGGCACAGTTATTTGATCCTCTTTTTGCTTACCTTTCTTTAATTTAACCAAGCCCTTCGCAAATTATTTTAATGAACTTGGTCATCCTTGCAAGTAAATGATACTAGCCAGCTAGCTACCTATCTGTCTTCTAAAGTCTTTCTAAATATACTTATTCCTTTGTCTATAGAATATATATCTCGCTATAATTAGAAGGTACAGTACTGTTTTTATATTTCAGTCTGTATTATATGAATATGGTTGTGTGTTTGAAAAATATATATATATATATATGAATATGATTCCCTGCTTCATCTTCTGAATAATTGGGTTGTGTTTTGAGGGGACAAGGAATTACTAGTCAATGAAGCCATATATATAATCATATAAACAAATAATTCATGTAAAGAGGAACAATAACACTTGGTATGTAATAATCAGACAAGCTCTCAACTCTCAACAGTGGGGGCGGCAATTCGTGGTCGTGGGTTGTATTCATGTCATGTCGAGGTAAGGTATTATACTAAATAGGTAAACCTAAACCCAACCCATTTAATAATTGTATCAAGAATTCTCAACATTAACCCAACCCATTTATTAAACAGGTAAATGTATTAATCCGTTCAATGACATGTTTATCAAAACGAGATATTTAATATTTAATCAAATACTAAATAATATAAAAAATTTGTTATAATTAACCCAAATATTAAAAATAGAAAGAAAAATTATAAGGAATAGACAAGGTTTATGTTAAAATGACTAAAGTATCCATAATAATTTGGTTTAAACAGGTAACATATTATATAAGTAATATTCACAATTATAACATATTGAGTTAAATGGGTCGTGAACGGGTTATACGGGTTGAACCCCTCAACCCTAATCCGACACGGTTAAGTAAACGGGTTAATCGTGTCGACCCGTTTATGACCTAAACCCGTTTATGCCAAACCCAAATCCTTTTAACTCGTGTTGTATTCGTGTCGTGTTGTCATGTCGTATCGTGTCGTAATTTGCCACCCTTATTCAACAGTGAACAAGTTTGGTCAAGTGATAGAATACATGTACACTATTCTCTAACAATCCTGACCAAAGATATTATTTTCCTTCCCATGATAGCAGGAAAGCACAATGTATAATTGGTAACCTAGCGATCGACTATATATGTGAGACATTGTCTAATTCATATAGGATTTTTTTTTTGAGTTTAATTCTAAAATTTTGTATAAGTTTTGACATTGATTTATTTTTAAAAAAATATTAGAGATTGATCCTATTTTTATACATTTCAAATTTTCATATATATATGTACACACACAAATATAAACTTTGAGAAATGCTTTAAATTAACAGTCACATGCAATTGGTCAAGAATCAAGATTAATTGTCCATAACTACACTATTTATAGAATGACATGCCGGGTATTTTTTTTGAATTTGGATGAAAATATTATTCACATTTAAAACATCAATAAAAAGAGTCAGCCAACGAAAAAAAAATTGTTGTTAATTGAATCATAAAAACTATAGTAAGCTTTGGTTGGAATGGCTGACAAACAGCTACGGATCCCCTGTTTTTCATCAACCCAGAAACTCGATGCTACTTCGTTTGACTTGGGGGAACTATTTTTGGCACGCTGTTTTTACGTGGGATTTTGTTTTAATATTGAGCTCTACTTGTAGAGTCGTGATTGTATTTAGCCGAACTCATGAAGTTTGCAAGTTTTACATATTTAAATTCAAACATTTGCATTTATGCAGTCCCACAATCACGATCGTGTTTCGCATTTCTCTTTAATATTTAGCACATATATGATGGATACATGTTTTTATTTAGGGATAATTACACTGACTTCTTTTTAGGTTTCGTCAACATATACTGACCTCCCCTTTTATTTGTCAAATTACACTGACCTCCCTTGTCAGAGTGAAGTTACTAATTTGCCCTCATTATATTTAATTGTATTTTATTGCAAAAATGATAAATTTTGAAAAGACTAAAAAACTTACATCTAAAACCCTATCCTCGGGCATCATTTTTTGGATCACCACAAATAGATTGTGGGGCACCGCAGCCCCACCATCCCCACCCCCACACAACCACCCATTACCACCATCATTAAACCCACCCCACACAAGAATGACCACATCAGTAATGTTAAGGTGTTTCATTAAGAAATAAATTGAGTCAAGCAATGCGTCGAGCACAGTGAAGCAAAGTGTTTTGATCCACCATTTCTTTCGAATATGGCAATGGCTAGAATTATCCAAAAGAACAACCCATTTGTTCTCCAATGATAGGGAGAATAATTGGGACAATGTTTGGTCGAAGAATGCTTGAGACGGCGGGAATGGGTCAAGAACAGTTGACGCCACACGCGGCGTCGAGATCTTGATCTGAGTGTGGAGATTGGCGACGACAAGAGCGCTGTAGAGGGACTCGATTGCCATCATGAGCAGGGGAGCAGAAGAGGGTACGGTGGTGAGGACCTCGGCGGCGGCGGCGGTGATAAACGTTTACGGGTAGTACACAGCTATGTTGCGGCTGTTCCAGGCGGCGGCGGTGGCGTTGTAGGACCCAATTGCGAGGAGCTAGT